AAAAAAAAAAATTAGCCGAGCCATAAAGCCATTTAGCTCGACTGTAAACAAAATTAATCAAAGGAAGGGAAAAAAATTTAGCCAATTCGAGCCATAAAGCCGTTTAGCTCAGCTTGGCTCACGGTTTGTGAACGGTAGTGGCAAAGTGCCTCTTTTATTTATGTGTGGATATCGATGTTGATTATAAAAATTCTCTTTTATCACCCACTTAGTTCATTGTGACATCTATTTAATATTTCCGTTAAATCGATTTTTTTCTAAGACCTTTTATGAATGAAAAAAATAATCTTTTCTTCTCAAATTAATAAATTCAAGAATGAAAATTAGAAGAGAAAATGTGTATTAAAACATTTAGGGTGCGTTTAATTACGAGTATGAAATTTGTACAGAAAAAAAAATTCTAGACAATTCAATTGCCCAAAATTCATTTATATGTCAATTATTAATTATGTGGTTGATTGATTTTGCTTTCAATTTAAAAAATATTATGCTTGTCCATTTTTTATTGGTGGGTTGATGAGAGGTGAATTACATGAAAAATAAACAATCTCTTTAAAGAAAATATTTTCCTTATTTTTGAGAAAAAATATGGTCATATAACGAAAAGTTGGAAAATATTTTTTATAGAAAAAATTATCAATCAAACACCTTAAAAATAAGACTTTAGATTAAAAAATGACATTTTTTATGAAAAATAAAGTCAATCAAACACATTCTTAGAGCGAATAATAAATACATGCAATATTAATATTAAAGAAAATGTTGTTATAAGTTCGAATTAATAAATAGGAAAGACGAAGGAAAAAAAGAAGGAAAAGAATCGAATCCCCTTCACCGCCAATGTTTTTTTATTCGTAAGGAAAATCAGTCGCCTCTCGAAAATTATTTGTTTATATAAGCTAATTTGGAAGATCGAATCCCACTCTCACTCTCACTCTCACTTTCACTCTCGAACCCTTGAAATTTCTGAAAGGTATGTTTTATATACACGTGAAACCCTTTGTTCCAGCGTTTTTCTCCATCTATTTTTGCTAATTTCAATTCATATTTAATTATGTATTTGCCTTGTCAGTATTTGATTTTCTAAAAATTACGATTCGCTTAACGTTTTCTATTTTCCATTAATTATATATTCTTAATTTGGCATTTTCATATTTTACTATCAAAATGGAAAATTATGTGATAATTTATGTAAAAAAGGACAATAATCCTCATCTATTATAATGTTTTGAATGTGTATGCATGCGCACATATGATATGAGATGTGTATGTATTCTTGGATGAACTTTTCTGTAAAAGGGATACAATGAACAGGAGCACTAGTTATAAGATACCTTGAGCTGGTAAGTATTGAGGTCTAATGGTACTATGACATGGTTGGATTTGATAGCTGTTCAAAAGTGTGATTTTATTGAAGAAGGCAAATGTATGGCAATTGAGCTTCCAGTTGCTTAGAAAATTTGTAGTGTTCTTTTTCTCTCTTGGGGCTTATGAGAGATTCTTCATTGGCCATAGCATAGAAAGTTTCAAAGAAACTCAAGTGAATAGGTAAACTGCAGGCACGGAGGTGGAATGTTTTGGGGTTTGTGATGAAAAATAAAGAGAGATGGAAAAGGTTGAAACAATGAGTGATGTGCAAATTTCATTTTTAGCAAATTCATTTTTGTATGTGGATTTTGACTAGTGAATAGTTTGTGAATCTCGTTTATTGTTCCCTCTCTCTCACTTTTACATGATGCACAAACACCTATATTATCGAACCATCTTTCCGTTGCTATCAACAGTGCAGAAAACGCGATGAGTTGACAGTTATTACACGGTTTAGTTTTTTTAACTGCAATAGTCTTGCCGACTCTAATTGAAGTACCTATTAATGATCTACTCTTAAAATGTTTTAGAATTGATTTTTTTGGAAAGAATGAACTTTGATATTGGTTGGTTGAGGTATAAATTCATTGTAATTTTAGGCTTAAATTGAGCTGACTGGAATACTTAAAATGGGGATCGATACTGATACGGTTAAAGATGGATCTACTTCTACTGAAATTGTCAACGCTGGTGAAATGGAATCAGAATCAAATAACATTGATACGCTTGAAGTTATCTCGTCTAGTGGAGATATTACCCAACAGATAAGAAGTTCTGCAGAGATTTTGACGACACTCGAACTAGATTTAGCATGTTCCTCAGAGAAGTTGGTTAACTTATCCTTACTTGTTATGTATGTGGAAGCAAGGGAAGATGATTTTGAGGCTTTTGTTTTGGATGAAAAATCTACGCCTGAAGGTTCTGGTGAAAAGGCACTTGAATTCGATCTTTTATCTGAGATTTTGGACTCTGAGGTCAAAGAGCTGAGTAATTTTCTATCCTCTCTTCAGACGGAGATTCTAAGTTCCCAAGGGGTTATATCTTCATTTGAGCAGTTTGGTGAAGCTTTTAAGGGAATGGAAGAAAAGTTGTATGATTGTGAGGAATACTTGAAGCAGTCATTTGAGCGGGCCACAGAAATACAGAAACAATCTTCCAGCTTCAAAAGGACCTTGTTGACTTCTGCCATAGATGAAAATTGTGAGTTTATTACATAATTTTTTATTTATTTATGAAAAATCACTGTATATCGGGTGCTGCACAGTTTACATAATTTTTTAAGTGCTAGATTGAGATCCCATGCGGTGTTGGGTTCCATGAACTACTGGAATGGAAACATATAATTGAGTGGATTCAGATAATTTATTGCTTCAAACACCCCTTCTCCCTTATTATCTGCAACTCCCTTTTGTCAAAACTGGAGCAAATAAGTACTCCTTTGTTCCCTTTTTTTTCCTGGTGAGTGGATTGGGGGAAATGCTGTATTGTTGTTTTGTCATTTAGTTACTGCTGCAAATACATGACAGTAAATCTGAATTTCCTATCTTCAGCTTAAAATAAAATAATTCTTCTTTACTTCAGCTAGTAACGATTAAACATCTTGACAGGGAAGGGCAATAAAGAGGTGGTGAGTTTTGAGAATGGTGTTCTTTTACGCCAAAATACAAAGATAAAAATGAAGACTGTGGAAGAGCAGAGAAAAATTTTGCAGATGCTTGAGAAGTCTTTGGCCAGAGAATTAGATCTTGAGAAGAAGCTCAGTGAGTTTACACAAATTGAAGAAGATTTAAATATTAAGTTGCAACAAGAAGTTTTCTGCATAGAAGAAGAAGTTGAAGTTACCTCGGAAAGATTGTTTGAGGCAGAAAATACTGCTGAAATCCTGTCTGGGATTTCAAAAGATCTACTGGGACAAGTCCAGATTTTACAGTTCAATCTTAATGGTTCAATCCAGAGAGAAGAGGTATTGAGATCTAAATTTCAAGATATAAATGAACAGTTGAAAGATAAAGACCATGCTTTGCAGAACTCAGAGAGCGCCAGGAGTGAACTCATGGAAAAGGTGACTTCACTCGAACAGAAACTGAAAGATTTTATGTCTCAGTTGAATACAGTGAAGGATTCTTCCGACAAAAATGAAGAGTTATCCACTAAGATTCTTGAAAATGAAAATATAGTTAATGAATGGAAGGAAAAAGCTTATGATGCAGAACAGAGGTCTGCGAGTGCTGAAGCTGAGTGTAAATTGCTTAGAGAGTCTAATGTGGGTCTTAATAAAGACCTTTGTATCCTTAAGAGTAGCATTACTATTTCAGATGAGAGAGTGGAAGAGCTTGAGAGAAAGTTGAAGGACTCCGAAATTAGGCAACAGCATGCAGTGGCATTTGCTGAAGCTAGTCAGGAGAAGCAAAGCATGTTAGATTGCACGATCAAGGATATGGAAAATTTAATAGAAAGTCTGAAATCAAAGGTTTCAAAAGCTGAAAGTCACACTGAGAGTGCTGAAGAAAAGTGTATCATATTGTCAGAGTCGAATGCCGATCTCATCGAAAGAATAAATTTTCTAATGAGTAGAACAGAAGACTTGGAGGCATCTTTACATCAGGCTGAGGAAGCGAAAAAGGAAACTGCAAAGGACATTTGTGTTCGCACCAAATTTATAGCAGATTTAGTTGTGCAGTTGGCTCTTGAAAGAGAACGCCTTCATAAGCAGGTTTCACAGCCCCCCACTCTTTCTTGTTGTGCACTCATAATATGATCACTGCTTAACAAGCCTCTTTTATTATCTTTCGGAGCCAATTATCAATTAAAATCTTTCTTGTTTGTCCCTCCCTTTTTCATTACCAATGTAGTTTTTTTTTCCTTCTTTGAGTAAGCTTTGACTTATCTCTGGACCACAGATCTAGACTACAAAGCCATTTAAAAATTTCAAGATCTCTCGATTTTGAAGATGAAATTCTGGTAGAAATGCATCAAATCACACCCTGAGGCCTCTGTTATTATCCTTAAGAATGTCTTATATTGATAAATACTTGGCTAAAGCTTTATTTCTTTGTTAGATTGGAAAGAAGTGTTGAGATTGTCAAGCTGTCCACAATAAAGGTCTCTTTAGATTTGACTGTATTATTGATGCAGATTTTATCATTAGTGAAGGATAAAAAAATTGCAGTAAAGCATTCGCGGCAAATGTGTGAGAATCCCACAGTTTCCACAAGTGTGAATTCCAAAGGAAATACCAAAGAATCTTTGCTTTCCGAGAATGACTCTAGAAATGCAACTTCTGCTGAAGAAAGTAATGAGCAAACAACTGAGTCTTTAGCTACCAGTCATGAGGTATGTGATACAGTAAGTGTTTGTTCTCGTCAATTCTTGGTGGAATAATCTGGTATAGATAAACAAGGATGATTTTTTTTTTTTTGGTTGTTGAAAGTTGTAGAAACTTTTTGATCCTAAAGTCCCATGTATCTGCTTTTAAAATGACCAGTCAAATACTAAATGGGATTCAAAATTTGAAGTGGAAGTTAGCACAAGTTAGGTTTCTCACTCGTGTTGCTTTTCTTTGTGGACACTGTGTCCTAGTATTTTAATTGGTTTTCATCTCCATGTCTCCACTTCAAGATGTAGAAGTTCAGGGACAAGAAATTCCATTATTTTAATTTTCTTTTCCTTTCCTAGTATATTAATTTCACTGTCCGATCTGTAATCTCCCCCCAAACTTGCCTTCCTTGTCAAAGACACATGTTCGTTTACTGCTGAACCATTGGCATATGGATACCAAGAAACAGCTGTGTAATTAAATGAATTAAGAGATGGAGCCGGTAGGAAATGACCTTCGCATTATTTTGAATGTAGAAACCTACACTGTAGCGATCTGAGAGACTGATAGGATAAATTTTAGCAACTGTAGTAAGATTCGTTTGGCTAAGCTTAACAAAATAGTCACTTTTTAACTTTTTGTTTCCAAACATGTTTCGATATGTTAATTTATTCTTCTTTTAATGAATAAAGTTATTCTTACCATATTGTCAAAATAACTTGTTTCAATTTTAACCAAATACGGGATAACAGCTATGATTTTTTTTAAGCTTAATCAAACATCTTTGACTGTGGACCTTAATTGCTCTATGCAAATAAATGAGCATTTAAGAGTATTTATATGGGATAGTGATACTTGTTAATTCCATTAGTGTATGGTCCTCTAATTATTAAGTTCTTTTTCTTTTTTCTAAATGTTGCTTTTCTCTAAACATTAGTGAGGAGCCTTATGATGATGTCAAAATAGAGTACTTTTAATTTATATCCTTTTACCCGTCCAATGAAAGTTTTATCTGATTTCAATCTCGGAGGCCTAGGGGTCATTCTCTTTGTGTTTCAGTTTTCTTTTTTTGAGTTTTGAATTCGTTTTGTGTTTTGTGTTTTGAGTGTCTGTTTTGAAATTTCTGAAAATGCGTTCTTTTTGGTATTTTGAAAAATTGTTTCCGAAAATATAAAAATGGAAAATGCGTTTACTTTGAAATT